TCATCATCATCATCATCATCATCATCATCATCATCATCATCATCATCATCATCCTCATCCTCATCGTCTCATCACCTTTCCTGCCTCGCCCCTTTCAGGTGACTGGGAGATCGACTACATCACCGGCGGCCCGTTCATCTGTCACGTGACTGACGTCACAGACATCGCTGTCTACGGCATGGACGACGGGACGGTCTGCGCGCACCCGGAGCTTATAGGTCAGTCCTGGGCACTTATCCCATTATCAGATTGCTTGTTAATTATCAATAATAATAATAAATAAATAGCGTTTGTATAGCGCATGTCCCCGCTCGAAAGCAAAATCTATGTGCTTTACACTAAATTATTACCCCAGAAGACTGTAGAACACCCAGAAACATTCTCAGCTTCCCGGGAAGCATACAGTGCAAGCAGCTGGTTAAGCGCTCAAACGCTAACAAACTGCCAAGATCTTTCACTGTCTATAGCTGGGTACCCAGTTTCACCTGGATGAAGTGGGGAACATTCGTGTAAAGTGCATTTCCCAAGGACAAAAGGACGGGCCCGAGGCTCGAACCCCCGAACCCGCAACCTCACGGTTACGAGTCCGGTAGCCTAACCACTAATTATGTTTTACGCCCCAATCGACAAAATTTAGAACATCCCTTTTTGAGGCAGGCTACTTCGATCCTGTTGTAGTGGCCAACATGAGATGAATGGGATACAGCATTATTAAAGCAGGCAGAATGAGAGAGACTCATTAAAATTTTTTTTACATTGCATCTACATATTTTTGCTTAGTTTTGGTAGTTTTAGTAGAGGTTTCACGGCGCTCGCAACTGCATAAGGTCATATAAGCGCCAGAAGATTACAGGTGTTACAAGAGAGTAACAAACATAAAATAGAAGAAGGGGAGATAAGGACGATAGACAGAATCAGTTGGTGTTCTATGTATTTGAAAACGACTCAACCCCACCTCCCCCCCCCCCCGGAAAACAACAAAAAACCAATCTCCTGTGCCCCCCTCAGCCGACTGTAGCCGTGTGGGTGACGGTCGTATTGACGCTGAGGTGACGCACAACGGCCTGCGGTACCCGTGCAAGGTCAGGAAGGACCGGCCCATGGTCTACAGGGTCAGTTTCCGACCGAGGGGGCCTGGCACATACAAGGTCTGGATCAACTACGACAGCCAGCCGGTCAAAGGTGAGCATGCGCTGAGACGAGTTGAGATGAAATAAGAAATGGGGTATAAAATCAGAATAATTCCCCATAAATTAAATGTCGTTTCGGACTAAAGGATCAAGCTCAAAGTTGTTTTTTGGGGGTTTTGGGGTTGTTTTTTTGCAAACAGTCGACAATTAAGAGGTTGAAAACTTATTCGATGTGATAATTGTTTGGTTTTTTCAAATGTGTCTTACCCCCCCCCCCCCTTTTTGATTTAAAAAAAAACCTTTCCAATAAGTGCTATGGGTTGTTTCTTCACAAGATATTTCCATTCACTATTCATTCTTTTACCATAGGTTCACCATTCATTATTTCACCAGATATTCACTTTTCATTCTTTCACAATACATTCACCTTTCATTCTTTAACAATAATACATTATTCACCTTTCATTCTTTCCCCATAGGTTCACCATTCATTCTTTCGCCATAGGTTCACCATTCATTCTTTCACAATATTGTATTCACCTTTCATTCTTTCACCACAGGTTCACAAATCATTCTTTAACCATAGACTCACTATTCATTCTTTCACCAGATATTCACTTTTCTTTCTTTCACACTAAGTTCACCATTCATTTCTTTCACACTAAGTTCACCATTCATTCTTTCACCACAGGTTCACCATTCATACAAGAGATCGAGGAACTGGAGAAGCCTAGTGCCCACGGAGACGGCCTGTACAGAGGAGTTCCGGGAAAACCCGCAACCTTCACCATCGACCCGCGGGGATTCCCCGGCCAAGTGTCCGTGGCCGTCAATGGTGAGCTTTTTACCCCCCC